AATAACGGCAACGTAAAGAAACAGAAACAGACGTATAAAGTACGAACATACAGGGCATAATTCTCACCATATTATACAACTTAATATTTTCCCCCACACTTTATAAAATGCAACACACACACAAAGATGGCGACGAAACTGCCCTCAGACTGTACCACAACTATACACACATTCTCTCAACCTCAGTTAGGACAAAAAAATATATATATGAAAATTATCGTACACATAGTTGAGAGTCCTCGTCCATGTTTGGGTAATATTCCACATTATTTCCATCTACTAAGGGCTGTTGACTCTAGCACAGGTCGGGTGGGTTAGTAGACCTGTATGGCTTAGTGTTTCATAGAGTTAAGGCAGCCAATTTGTGTGTAGGTCTGATGTCTTTAACCAATTGCTTCCTTTCTCCCTCCCTTCACCTCTAGTTCAACCGCGTCTATTATGTCATCCACGCGTCATCCATTACACCCACAGGAGGAGGTAAATAAGTGTGATAAACGGGAGAAACTAAAGAGGAATAATCAGGACTGGTTGACGTGTTTTTTGTGTGTGAGATCTAGCGTAAACATTGTCAATGAACCTATCGTAACTAGAATCAAATAAAAATCTCCTTTATGATTGGCTGATATTTTTTATGAATGAAATAATGAGTAAGAGAACACTGAACATTGTTATTGACTGAATGAGCAATGCAATGAATGAATGAATGGGTCATGCATTAAATATAATATCCCCCTCGTTACTGCCTGCTATTTTGTGAATGGCGTCATGCTTGTAAACATAGTGCAGACATATTGATTATAATCTTGTGACTGGATCATTATTATTTTATTTATAGATCTTAATACATTAATATTTCTAGATCAGCTTGTTGATTAATGGATCTGTCATCTTCACTACCACACACACTCACTCACCATTCATCATTACACACTCACAACTACCCTCACCATCACACACTCACCACCACCACCACCACCCCACTCTTCTGCTCATACTTCCAACACACCCAAGCCTACTACCCCAACGCACTCACTACAATCCCAACGAACTCACAACTAACCCCCATCCACCAAACACCCGTGAGACGTTTCAGTGTATGAGAGAGGAGGAAGAGAGTAGTAAGGGTGTAAATGTATCGTGGGTGGTAATGGAGAACGTAAGATTGAAAAAAAAAATGTTGAGACGATAACACCAGACACGATAGCAGCAGACACGATAGCAGGAGGTAAGATAGCAGGGAACAATGGTCGGTCCTCGTCAACCCTAGATATCGTCTCTTGACTACGATAACACTCGAATTAATGTCAACGAGATGGTTCATTATCTGTTTAATTTTTCGTTGGATGGTGATGTGTTGACTGGCCGGTGGGGGGAGGGGGAGAAGAGAAGAAAAAGGAGAGAGAAAGAGAAAAAAAGAGATAAAGAGAAAATGAGATAGAACGAAAAGAGAAGAAAAGGGGAAAGAGAAAAGGAGAGGAAAAGAGAGAGAATCCAGTTAGAAAATGTGTTAAGGGACGTACAATGAAAGACAAAAGTCGTGTCGTGAAATTTGGTGAAAACATATGCCAAAGGGCTAAACTTTTGGTCCGCTCTGCCTTGTGGTAGGAGGCTCTCATAATGCTTCATGAGTTATATTTAATCTTCGGTCAAAACCGCGACACGACTTTTGTCTTTGATTATACACACACACACACAGAGGCAGTCACATCCTGTCGTAGGGTTAAACAAAGGATCCCTTGCTCTCCTTCATACCTTCTCCTGCCCTCTCACTCTGCCTCCTTAACTCTCACTTCTCTCCCTCCCTCCCACTCCACCTCCTTAACTCTCACTCAAAATCCCTCCCATTCCGCTTCTCTTCCCTCTTCTTCCTCTCCGTCTTTCACTCTCTCCCCCTTCTTATTTTATTTACCTCCTTCCCTCCTCCGACTCCCTATTCATCCTACTCTACCCCCTCCCTCCCTCCACCTACTTCCTATCCCTCCTGCTTCTTCTCCCCTACATTCCTCATCTTATCTCCCTATCCTTCCATCTCCCCCTACCTTCCTCATCCTACCCCCTATCCCTCCACCTCACTCCTCTCCACACCTACTCCCTCTCCTCCCTGCCTTCCTCCATCCCCCTATCCCTCCTACTCCCCACCTTCCTCATTCTACCCTCTATCCCTCCTGCTACTCCCTATCCACCCTGCTCCTTCTCCCCCTACCTTCCTCATCCTCCCCCCCCTGAGCTGGGTGAGAGAGACACGCCAGCCCCGCGGAACATGCCTCCAGTATGATCGGTATTGCCGGTAGCTCTATATGATAATGACTGATAATGATAGAATCTTTGGGAAAACAGTGAGGCTTTATCTGGCTACATCTGGCGGGCAAGATTGATGCTGGCCAGGAGTCCTTCCCTCCTAGTGTCATTCCTCACTCCCTCCCTCCCTCCACTGTCACACTTCACTTCCTCCTCCCAGTGTCATTCCTCACTCCCTCCTCCCACTGGCAGCCCCTACTCCCTCCTTCTTCCATTCCACTCTCTTTACCATCCATTCCTCCCATTGTCACCTACTACATTTTCACACACACACACACACACACACACACAGCTATAAAGTACACAAACTAAACGTACTGTACACTTACAGACGTACAGTACATGAACACACGCACATATACAAACATACATACATACATACATACAAACACGAACACAAAATTAATCAACATGGCGTCAAAATGGTGTCAATACTGCACTGACTGATCTGACTGAAACGGAATGTGTCCACCTGTATGGTTAACACGAGAACAAAACTACACTGAGACTTTACCAGTACCTTATGATGGACGAACCTCTGAGTATATGATGAAGAGAGAGAGAGAGAGAGAGAGAGAGAGAGAGAGAGAGAGGCTGTAGGCACGCCGGATAAGTCATAAAGCCATATCAATAATCAAAGAGTGGATCACAACTCGGGTCGTGAGTCCTGGCCAGGCCGGTCACACTCATAAAACTGCACGTCTCAGGCCTCGGGAATTGATGGTGGGAGTAAGGGGATTGGTATGTGGGATCGGTGGGTGGTGTAGGTGGTGTAGGTGGTGTGTAGGTGTGGTGTAGGTGTGGTGGGGGGTGGGGTGGGATGGGGTAGGGATGGGGTGGGGTGGGTGGGGTGGGGTGGGATGGGTGGGGTGGGGGGTGTGGGGTGGGGGGTGAGGTGGTGGGGTGGGGTGGGGTGGGATGGGGTGGGATGGGGGTAGGTGGGGGGGTGGGGGTGGGGTGGGATGGGGTTGGGGGTGGGGGTGGGGGATGGGGTAGGGTTGGGGTGGGGTGGGGTGGATGGGGTGATGGGGTAGGGTTGGGGGTGGGGTGGGTGGGGGGTGTGGGGTGGGGTGGGGTGGGGGTAGGGTAGGGGTGAGGTGGGGTGGGGTGGGGGTGGGGGATGGGTGGGGTGTGGGGTGGGGTGGGGTGGGGTGGGGGTGGGGTGGGGTGGGGTGTAGGGTAGGGTGAGGGGGGTGGGGTGGGGGTGGGGTGGGGTGGGGTGGTGGGGTGGGTGGTGGGTGTAGGGTAGGTGAGGTGGGTGGGTGTGTGGGTGTGGGTGGGGTGTGGGTGGGCTAGTTGGTGAATTTGAATTTTGCAGTGACATCAGCTAGTTTATTGTGCACCCCTATACCTCCTGTGAACGGGAGCACTATAAAGGTTTGCATAGTAGAGGTCACAAAGGGTGTTTATCAGACCCCCAGTCCGTTGTTTGGTTAGTTCGGTACATAGAAATTTCCTAAGGTACTAGTTGCTATCTTGCCCTCAGAGGTAAGGTGATACACAGTGTGCTTAGATTGTATGGGTGGAGTGGTGGTCTCAGTGGGTGGATGGTGAGTGGTAGGTGGTGGTGGTCCAGTGGGTGGGAGGTGTAGGTGGGTGGTGGTCTCAGTGGGTGGGTGAGTGGTGTAGGTGGGTGGTGGTCTCAGTGGGTGGGTGAGTGGGTGGGTGGGTGGTGGTCTCAGTGGGTGGATGAGTGGTGTAGGTGGGTGAGTGGTGTAGGTGGGTGGTGGTCTCAGTGGGTGGGTGAGTGGTGTAGGTGGTGGTCTCAGTGGGTGGGTGAGTGGTGTAGGTGGGTGGTGGTCTCAGTGGTGTGTGAGTAGGTTGGTTGTTGAGAAGACAGTGACTATCAGACCCAGATCACTCTACAGCCATCCTCGTCACACACACACAAGACCCCCCTGTATTTGTATGTAATAAGTCATTTCTATCCAATGTATATTTTCAGCCTTCGAGCTGCTGAACTTTTTCAATAAACCGTTAATTACTATTGTTGTTATTATTATTATTACACACACACATACACACATATAAACACACACACACACACACACATACCCATGCAGAACACACGCACGTATGCAAACAAATATTTACAGTCACACATACAAATCAATGCACTTTCATATGCACACAATCAGACATATGCATATTGTGCATGCATGCACGCAAGCATGCACACACACATACGCACGCACACACACACACACACACACACACACTTGTCACTAAGGATACAGTAACTGGAGAAGGTGAGAGCAAAAACCAGACCTAATTTAATAATAATTACGAAGAAAACTTTACAAAAATAAAACTAAGAAGTGTAGAGGAGAGAGTAAGCCTCGATGTGTACAGTTGTGTGAATATAGAATTAACTGCCTCCTGGGGACTCCCTCGGCCCCTGTCACTCTAGTCTGCTTATAAACTGTCCAATTACAAAACTGTCTGTTTCTGTTTATCTCATCCTTTTTTTCTCTGTCTGTTTATCTCAGTCTGACTGTCTGTCTGTCTGGGCATCAAACTGGTTGGCAAAAGTCCAGCAAAAGGAGTACCTCTTTCCCACGCACCCACAACTGACCCCCCCATCTCTTGTCACAGCTGACCCCACCTCTTGTCACAGCTGACCTCCTCACACCTCTTGTCACAGCTGACCTCCTCACACCTCTTGTCACAGCTAACCCCGCTCACCTCTTGTCACCCCACAGCGTGTCGGGAGGTGGCCTTCCTGTACGCCCTCACCTCGGCCGCCGTCACCCACACCGTCACCCGCGCCTGTACTGAGGGCACCGTCGACTCCTGCAACTGTGACTACCGGGCCAAGGGGCCCTCAGGTACGTCTTCACCTCCTTACCTTACCTCGACATCATCACAGGTACAGTAGGTCAAACGTCGAAGGCGGCAGGTCAGAGGTCAGCAAGATAAGGTGAAAGGTGAGTTGCCTCATAGCATCACTAACATTACAAAGAAGCAAGAAGTTTAATTTATAGTCACTGTTCAATTATATGACTTGAGGGTGAGTTTCTCTTTCACTCTCTCTCTCACTCTCTTTCACTCTCTCTCTCACTCTCTTTCACTCTCTCTCTCTCTCTCTTTCTTACCGAACTCTCGACTCAGTCCTTCTCTAAGCCTCTATATCCTCCTCTGCCACATCATCATCCTGGCCACCGACTCACCCGACGCTTGTCTGTGCAGGCCTGGACTGGGAGTGGGGCGGCTGCTCGGACAACATCGACTTCGGCAACAAGTTCGCCCGACTCTTCGTCGACGCGGGCATGAAGGGACGTGACCCGCGTTTCCCTATTGACCTACACAACAACGAGGTTGGCAGACTGGTGAGTGTACACTGTAATGTATTGGTGTGGTGTATGCTGTTATGCTGTGTGTATGCTGTTATGTGGTGTGTATGCTGTTATGTGGTGTGTATGCTGTTATGTGGTGTGTATGCTGTTATGTGGTGTGTATGCTGTTATGTGGTGTGTATGCTGTTATGTGGTGTATATGCTGTACTCTTTTGATTAAAGTGTGCAGTACAGTGCAGAAATATATGTTATGTTGATTCTGGGGTACTGGTAACTGTACTCTGTTGGTGCTGGAGTACTGTTTCAAGTACTCTGCTAAAAACAATACTCTGTTGGTGCTGGGGTACAGTAAAACGTAATTTGTCTGTATCAGGACAGTTTACTATAAATTCTGTACCTGTTGGCGTATTATGCGTGTTTAGTTCACTGTAACATGTACATTACTGGATTATCTAAACATATACTTTATTCTATAACGGAGATAACCACACTAGTTATGAAACACTTGCATACCTTACGTAATAAACTTTTGTAATATATAACTACCCGAGTAATTTACCGTTACAGAAATACAGGTAGAGAAGAATAATTTAAATCATTTCCTATCCCATACAGACAATTTCTGCCATCCATAAAAAAGTAGATAAAGGCCTTGTAAACATTAAACATTTGGTCAACCATTTGAAAACAACAAACACATAAAAACAAACACACACACAAACAAAACAAACACACACACACGAACACAAACACACACACACACACACACACACACACACACACACACACACACTGCTGAAGATCCAAGCCATCAAACTCACCTAACCTGTACTGATTAATTCACCTGGAAATGAAGACGAGAGGCAGAGAGGGAAATTACAGAGCTTCAACTTAAAGAACATAATGACTACCTGTACTAAGTGACCGTAATTACTCGTAACCACTTTTCCTTTAACTTCCAATTAAGACAAGAAAAAGGTAGGTATTTCCCCACCAACCCCTCCACACCTCCTACCCCACACCCCCACCCCTCACCTTACACTAACCCTCCTCCCCCGACACCCACCCTACCTGACCAAGCCTCTACACAACACAAAAGACATCTAGAACCAAGGCCCAGGTAACCTAATTAGTGCTTTGACCACCACCTACCATCCTGCCTACCATAAACCTGTGTCCCTCCACCACAACCACTACCTGCCTCCTCCACCACCACCTCCTCACCCCCCCACCCCACCCCCCTTGTCTTCTCCTCCACCTCCTCCAGTCATCACCACACAACCACTACACCATCTCCTACCCATGGTGTCACTGATATCACCCCTCCCACCCCTCCCACCCCCCATCCTCCCCCAACACCAGCGTCACTGACATTACTATAAAGGTCAAGCCACCGAGAAAAAAATCCTTTGTTTATCATTTATACATTTTATTACGTACTTAAGGGGAATTGGTCATGATATACAAGACATCGTACTCAAGGGATTATGTTACCACCACTACTACCACCACTTCTACCACCATCACCACTACTACTACCAAACACCACCACTATTACTATCACCACCACCACTACCACTAACCTCTACTATCATCACCACTACTACCATCACTACCATGACCACCACCACCACTACCACTACCACCACTACAACCATCACTACAACCATCACTACCACTACCACCATTACTATTACCACTACCACCCACCCTCCACATTACATCCAGACACTACCACAATCACTCGTGGTTCTCCCGACAAGGTCTTCCCCCCGCAACACTCGGTCAGTCTCAAGTTAACTGGGAACTTGAGTGACTCCGATTTCGAGTAAAAATAATCAGACGAACTTTGTTGACCTTACAATCACTATACCCCAAAAAACTGTTATAATCACCACATAACACGAATCACCGTTACAATCACCACAACTACGTGATTCACTATACCACCACAATTATCTAATTCACAATCTCTCGCTACACAGGAACTCAAAATCCCACCATCGCATTGAGTTTCATTTTACCATAATGGATAACACTGAGGGCTGAGTGTTACTGAGGGCTGAGTGTTACTGAGGGCTGAGTGTTACTGAGGGCTGAGTGTTACTGAGGGTTGAGTGTTACTGAGGGTTGAGTGTTACTGAGGGCTGAGTGTTACTGAGGGTTGAGTGTTACTGAGGGCTGAGTGTTACTCAGGGTTGAGTGTTACTGAGGGCTGAGTGTTACTGAGCCTGAGTGTGTGTGTTGAGGCGTCATCACACAACTCCTTTTATTGGTTAATGGCGAAATATAACACACCAATCACAATCAACATATTTGACCTGTGACCTCCCATCTCGCCACCTCGATCTGACCTCCATGTTTTACGCGTGTCATAGAGGGGTGACACCACACACCCAATGATTACAAATGGGGTGTGTAGAGTGTGCTGTTCTGTCATGTCATACTGTAAAATACTTGTCACCCTCATACCTATGAAGTTTTAGTATTACCTTTAATATTAGGATAAAATCTAGTCAGCCAAACTTCCGACACATACAGTGAAATAAATGGCATAACAGACAAGTCAGGATCTGCCTGTAAGAGCATACTGAGAGTCTTATGTTCACCCACCAGGAGAGAGAGAAGGTGGAGCGTAGGTGGAAGAATAATGGATGGTAGGTGGAGGGGATGATAGGTACAGGTGGAGGAAAGAGGGATAGAGGACAGGTAAAGGAGGAAATGAGAGATGACAGATGGAGGAGAGAGGATAGAAGGAGGAAGGGAGGGTAGAAGGAGGAAGGGAAGGTACAAGAACGGAGGGGGAAAGAGAGGACAGGTGGAGGAGTGAGTGAATGAGGGAGGGAGGGAGGGATGGCAGGTGGAGGTTGTATAAGAGTGTTGATGATGATGTCGGCGTCATCACCGCTTCCCTCACACCCACCGTGGCAAATTTTGTTCACTAACCGACCCGGACTGCGGCCTTGCCTCCTCCACCACCCGCCACCCTAACCCCGGATAATAAAAACCTCACATAACGCTACAACAAACCCAATCTGCCATACCTTAACCCAACACCTCACTCCACGTCTATAAACACATCAATCCTCCACTGTGTTAGAGAAGATGTATATTGCATTTAAAAGACTACGAGAGAATATTTCATTAAAGGGAATCATCAGTGTTATTTACAAGCGTTGGGGGGTGAGTGACCATACCATGGGTCATTTTTATGCCCCGCCACAGGTATTTTAGGGGCATGCTGAGGCCTGGGTATGTTTATCACTAGGAGGCGTGATGGCCCCTGATTACTGTGTACTGGTGTTTCCCCCTGGCTTTCACTGGGTCATCTTCCAAACTAATACCACAACTTAAGATCTGATAATGGACCTTAATTCTCGTAACAGAAGCACTTTTCTCAGGTTAAGTTAGGAGTGATTTGGTTAGGTTAGGTCCCGGGTCCTGGTTGAGGTACAAACAACTCTCTCACCACTCACCTCACAGGTAAACGCAACATTAAGCACCGTGATGTGACGTCTCTCTTGTGCTGAAGTCCCGCCATTGTACTGCCTCGTGATGTTCTTCAGGTGACTGTAAAAATTAATTCCAGACACTGAAATTTACTTCGGCTCGACAGATACCAAAGTACACAAAATCCTTCTATAATAAACTTCTATCTTTACTTACATACAATATTCTTCACGTAAAATCCACACACAAAAAATTCTTAATACGTGCAATCATTTGTTTACGAAATTTGAAATATATAAATTAAAAAATAATAATAATAATAATGTGTTATATATATACAGTAATAACCTTAAAAAAAAGTATCTATCATTAAGTAATATTGTAAGTATTCTCTTCATACTGTGCCTTTAGATACTGAATGTGTTATGGGCTTAGTAATTCATTATATCCATATAGTATTGTGCTGAGGTGAACACTGAGCCAGGCAGGAAGGAAGGGAGGTGTATGGGAGATGAAGTTAGGCTAGCTTGTTCACACCCACACACACACACCCACCCACCCACCCACACACACACCCACACACACACACACACACACCCACACACACCCACCCACCCACCCACACACTACCCGCCCCCCCACCCACACATTGACCCACCCACCCACACACACACACACACACACACACACACACACACACACACACACACACACACACACACACACACACACACACACACACACACACACACACATACGCACTACCCACCCACACCCATTCCACACACACACTCCACCCACTCCACTCCACCCACCCACACACACAGGTAATACTGCATATGTGCTGAATGAAGGGCATTGTGGAGTACCCTCAACATATACGTGGTCAGGTATTGAGTGGGGTCAGGCGTTGAATGGGGTCAGGATGAGTGGTCAGTGGTTCAGTGGGTCAGTTGTTCAGTGGGGTCAGTGGTTCAGTGGGAGTCAGAGGTGAGTGGGGTCAAACGTTTAGTGGGGTCAGAAGTTGAATGGGGTCAGAGGTTGAGTGGGGTCAGGTGTTGAATGGGGTCAGGATGAGTGGGGTCAGAGGTTGAGTGGGGTCAGACGTAGAGTGGGGTTAGACGTAGAGTGGGGTCAGACGTTGAGTGGGGCCAGACGTTGAGTGGGGTCAGGTAGAATGCAGTAAGGTTGAGTGGAATAACAATAATAATAATAATAATAATAATAATAATAATAATAATAATAATAAATAAAACAATAATAAAAGCAGAAAAGACAAAAGAACACGGATAATTACGACTCAGAAACCAATACTTAATGAAGCAATGAAAAAATCGAACCAAAAGAAAAACAAAAAGGTCTATTGTGTTGAATGTAGTAGACCCCCTTCCACCCACCCCACCCACCCGCCCATTCACCCACCCAGGTCTGCCCGCCCACCCACTCGCTGAGCTTAAGTCATTGCCAGTAAAAGCCTCCGAACACAGCCACACAGAGGGAGGCCCGGCCGGGATGGGTGTGTGAGGACGGGGAGTGGAGGAGGAAGAGGAGAGAAGAAGGGGAGGAGGAGAGGGAAAGGAAGA